AGGTTCGGGTCGGGCTCAAGCTTATAGCTAAACTAAAACTATATGCAGTAGCCTAGGCTACGCTGCTTTCATAGATGCACGCACACACATTATAGCACATGACAACAAAGCACGGAAACTTTTATTAGTAAAATAGCTTCGACAGGCTACTGACTCACAACTTTATATTTCTCTGCAATGAGGGGGTAAAATCGCTGTTTTTGAAGTAACTAAGCCTCATTGCTTGTAGAGAGAGACGCAGACGCAGGTTCACACACACAACTTTCATCTCCCTCTCTCTTTCTCTCGCTAATTCAAATAAATGATATAATTAATTAATTCAAATAAATGCGATCTTACCGCACTGCATCTCTGTGTCTTATTTAAAGCAGGCCAAATGCTAACGAGCCTAACTGACGAAGATGACCATAATTTGCACGATGAATTATCGTTTTGTCGTATACAACCATTCAAAAACTCGGCAGAATTTATGTGACAGAAGTACCTGATGTTCATAAACTTTCATAACTGGTAAGTGTTTTTTCTTTTGCCTTGTGAACTGGCCGAGCCTTAATGATTCTGTTTCTTTACACGTATTTGTTTACTGACCGTTGCATGCAATCGTGAAATACAGCTTTTTTTTTTTTAATTGGCTATTTGTTGTGTGAAAAAAAAAAAAGATTTTGGGTTGGGTTCGGGCTCTAAATTGAACTGTAGGTCGGGTCGGGCTGGGTCAAACGATCTCGGGTACGGGTCGGGTTCGGGCTTCAGTTTAAAGTCTGTGCAGACCTCTATATTAGATACATTTGAAAGTTCTGTTATAATGCTACACTGTGCAGTCGTCACTGATCTATTAATACGCACAACATATTAAAGCGTCTTTGGTGTTTCCATGTTTTCTACAAAACAAAACCGGAAATCGAGGGGTTATGACGTCATTGGCAGGCGACACAATGACATTATGGACACGGTCCGTGTCACTAGTTAAAATCGCTTATTTCTCTGGATTTAAACATTCTTCGAACCATTTGGGATAATGTAAGCATACAAGTCAGCAAAATATATAACACTGTTCTAGTGGTTTTTGGATATTTTAATTAAAAAAATCGTAAATATTGTGCCTTTAAAGAGGAAAATATCATTTATTTATATGCCGCTTGAACTGAGGTGAATTATCTCACTACAAATTAAAGAGCATAAAACACATTTATTGTTTGTATTTTACCTTATAAAATTCACAGAAGGCTGAGACTTTGTAGTAACAAAGCACAAAGCTGCGATTATTGGGTGGCTTGCGTGCTACAAATAATGAATGAAATAATGACTTGAAAACGTTAAATATAATTTCCAAGCATTTAGCCTATACCATAAAACAGCTTGTGAATAGTCACGATTCACGTAACGTTATTTAGCCTACTTCAGAAAAATCAACAATAGGGCCCATGCTAAGTTAACAGAGTTGGAGCCCATAACGTTTGGGGGGGCCGTATATATTTTTTTTGCATATGGGGCTGATTTGCTACACCACTGCTTTTCAGGATAATAAAAACTTAAGGAATTGACCTGAACTTTATCATGCTAGTGTTAATTACAAATTCATGAACATATAAAATGACACTGCAATATTTCATTCACAACAGAGTTTCTCACATCCTGTAAAGACTGACAAGTACAGATTTGAAAATTGGGTGGCTTGCGTGCTACAAATAATGAATGAAATAATGACTTGAAAACGTTAAATATAATTTCCAAGCATTTAGCCTATACCATAAAACAGCTTGTGAATAGTCACGATTCACGTAACGTTATTTAGCCTACTTCAGAAAAATCAACAATAGGGCCCATGCTAAGTTAACAGAGTTGGAGCCCATAACGTTTGGGGGGGCCGTATATATTTTTTTTGCATATGGGGCTGATTTGCTACACCACTGCTTTTCAGGATAATAAAAACTTAAGGAATTGACCTGAACTTTATCATGCTAGTGTTAATTACAAATTCATGAACATATAAAATGACACTGCAATATTTCATTCACAACAGAGTTTCTCACATCCTGTAAAGACTGACAAGTACAGATTTGAAAGTGACAACTTGTACAGGAGAGAAATCCAGACACCCCACAGAGAAAGTGTTTTGGCAGATCTCAAGCATGTTGCCAGCAGATGCAGCCCCACCATAAGTCACCTCACACACGTTTTAACACTGAGCCAACAGTGTAAAAGCAGCCTTTATATAGCTCATATGTAGATGTCCTGAAATGCAGTGTAAGATTAAATATTTGATGCACACAGTGATAAGTCCTTCCCTTCAGAAGCAGCCTCTGTACTAGTGCATGCTGCAGTTTCACAAAGGGTTTTGGATCAAAGGAAACAAAAAGAACACTGGGTAATAAACAGTTACTAACAAAATAGTGCTAGTGTTGGTGTTCATGTTAAAGCAGGAACTTGGCTGGGGGGGGGACAAATTACTTAGAAACAGTCCACATTTCCTCTGACTTGCGAGATGAATGTTGATGTTACCAAGTCCAAAAATACACACGCGTCGGAATCTTAGTCTTAACATTTTTTTAAACATTTTAACATCCGAAGTAACTTCAGTTTCTCTGAGTTAAATATACAATATTGAGATTCACAAAAATGAAAAGTACATGTTGTATTTGCTAACAATAGAATATTATATATTATAACAAATCATACTGATTATAAGAATAATATGTCTGACAACTAAGCGAGTGTTGCATCAACACACAGGGGGAGGAAAGGGTCAATTTCAGCAAATCAGGTAACACGGTTGAAAAACGCCTATGCCGTTTGAAAATGCCTTAAAATTGGGAAATGCCTTTTTGTTCTGCAGAGACCTTATACTCCTTTCACTGGTAGAACACTGACTACATTTACATGGACATCAGTAATCAAATTATTTACCTTATTCTGAATAAGTCAATATTACGATTAATATTACGAACATGAGTTGCTTTTAGAATATTCCTTTTATGTGAGTTCACGTGCTGCTAGAACTGAGGCAATAGAGTGATCTGTTACGACACATTAAAGAGCCAAATTTATTGTTTGAATTTCTTTAAAATAATTAAAAAATATTTGAAAGCTAAGACCTTGTTTCATACCAGCAGTAACCTGCTTTGTCTTGTCTGTTGACGTGTTGTCAGTTTCCTCTTTGCTCCGCGATGTATTTTTTACTGCGTGAGAACAAGATGTGTAGTGTAAGAGCGGCATGGCTTGTCAGACATAGCAACAGTAACAAAGGAGGGTGGGTTTTTGGGAGGAAAGGGTCAATTTCAGCAAATCAGGTAACAGGGTTGAAAAACGCCTATGCCGTTTGAAAATGCCTTAAAATTGGGAAATGCCTTTTTGTTCTGCAGAGACCTTATACTCCTTTCACTGGTAGAACACTGACTACATTTACATGGACATCAGTAATCAAATTATTTACCTTATTCTGAATAAGTCAATATTACGATTAATATTACGAACATGAGTTGCTTTTAGAATATTCCTTTTATGTTCCCGTTTTACATGTTATAGTACATAAATCGATTAATGCTGCACGTCATTACGTCACCACGCGACACCATCCGACGTCCCCTTCAGAATTTCAAGTATAAACATATAGTTCGTCTTCGTTATGATGACATATACAGTTTCGGGTGTTTAATTTTTAATTTACTGAAAGCTTCAAGTGCAGTTAATTATTTGTCATGCTATACATGCAAACAGACAATGGCATTGTTGAAGCCATCTTTTCACAATTTCAAATTTGGAACATGAAAGTGAACTTCTGCATAATAACATTTAATGGGATATATGTGGTACATGTGAGACCATAAAAAAAAAATACTATTGTATTTCCATTTTCATTTGAAATTTCCATTACATTACTTTTTATTGTCTTTTTTATATATTAGTGTTATAGATTTTATTTCATATAATCGCTTAAATTCCAATAACAAGCTCCTATCACCAAAGACAAATTCCTTGTGTGTGTAAACCTACTTGGAAAAAGTTATTTCCATTTCTGATACGTCAGTCACAAGCTCAGCTATATTAGCTTTTACTACTTTTTTTAGCAGTAACTTTATGCTGTTGAATATAAGACAAAGTACAGTTAAAAAAATAAAATATTAAAAACTTTGTGTTAATTATTGCAATTGAAATGTGTCATCACAGTTGATAGTGAAATAGTGTGAAATAGCTCAATAGTGAAATTTAGTTTGACAAGGACATCAAGGTATAATCATTCTACACAAAAGGCAAAAGGTCAACAATGCAAAATACACAGACTTTGGTGTAAAAAAAACACAGCCCTTGGATAAGAGATTTAAATACACATTGGTAACAGGAGATTTTGAAACCAACACACCAAACTGACATTTTCACAATTATATAAAAAATATTTTTAAGTCCAATACCACAAATTATGAAAAAGTTATCAGCTGTATCAGGCTGATTACATTCAGAAACAAATGTCACATTTCAGAGATTGAGAATTTAATGCAGCTAACACATTTTGAATCACATTTTCCGTTTCAAAATTGTGAAAATGCCACCCACAGCTTTTGGCCACTAAAACTTTTCCCATCGATAATGCTGTGACATTTGTCCACGGCAGACCCATAAGGCGAGCCTAAATGAATGAAGCGCAATGAAACATGAGTCTCTCTATTCTTGGAGTAAACCCCATCGACGAGGCTTGGGGAACGGGGTAGGAGGAAATGAGCGGCCCAGACATGCGGCCATGGGGGATGCCCAACCCACCAGACCCGTGTCGGTATGATACTTACTTGGTCCAGCTCACTGGGGGAGGATTTCGCTTTAGCGAGCACATGAAGGATTTCATTTAGGAGGGGAGAGTCCTGAGAGTGGCCATTTTATTAACACAGAAAGAAACAAGAGGGAAAAGAAAAATACATTGAAATACACAGCAGAGGGGCAAGTTAGGCAAGTTTATTTAAAATGACCTATATTCCACTAGTATGAAGTTCAAAAGCCTGAAAAAAACAGCAACTAATATTTTGTTTATATAAAACAAAATATTAGAGAGTACTGTAAATTACAGTGGAAGACAAATGAGAATAAACCTGAATAAGTGATTATTGCATTAATGGTATTATAGATCATTCCAAGTCACCTCTTTCGGGCTCAGATTTTCAAGTTGTAGTGATATAAAGGTGTACCAGTTTATAGAATCAGACCAGTTTAGTGACTAACTCACCCAAAGAAAATATGCAACATTTTGCCTTGTGACACGGGTCATTCTGAAAATGTTATATTGTTGTTAGTGGAATATTAGTCAATCAGTAAAGGTCCTTTTTCAGACTAAGCTAATGTGTGGAGCCAATGATGCTCTGCTAAAAAATAATATTATGTTCTTTTATAAATATATTCAAAAGTGGCTGTTCATGTTGTACATGTCTACACACTGCAGGCAGGTGGTGGTATTGTGACAACTGCCTTAAAAAAAAAACAGACTGGTCCAGCTACAAGCATGCATATTACATCAACATGGTTCACACATGTAAGTGTAACTGCTGTTTGAATGTTTTCATATACGGTGAAAAACTTTAATAGATCCAAAAGGAAATGTAATGAGATTTTAAAGTAAAATACTGTTGTATGTACAGTTTTTGGAAGTAAAAATAGCAGTGCATCCTACAATTTACAATGAAAAAATGTAACACTTACAGAATTCCCTGTGACACACTTCATATTTTATATTTTTTTAAAGAAATAAATATTTCTTATTAGCTTAGCTTCTTCTTATCAGTTATGTACATTAGGGTTCCATGTTTCATCTTATGTTGTAAAATCCATGTTTATTGCATTATTTAATGTTGTGTGTTAAAGTGATAGTTGACCGATAAATTAAAATGAGTTGTTAATTTACTAACCGGCAGGCCATCCAAAATGTAGGTGACTTTTTTCTTCAGTATAACAGTAAGGAATGTTTTTAGCTGAAACCATGTTCCTTGGTGATTCATAAAATGCAAGTCAGCGGTTGCCCATATTTGAGAATAAAAAAAGCACATTAAGGAACACAACATTAAAACCCGTGGCTCATGATAATATATTAAGGTCTTATGAAGTGATTGGTCTATGCAAGAAATTGAACATAATTCACAACATTATTATCTGTAATTCATAGCATCAGGCAAATAACTGCTTGCATTTTATGAATCACCAAGGACCATGGTTTCAGCTAAAAACTTATTTACTGAGTAAATTACCAGCAAATTTTATATTTTGGGTGAACTATATCTTTAAGGGTCAGTCACACTGCACTTTTCATTCCACTGACTTCTATTCTTATGCATGCAAACACAGGAGACAGGAAACGCAAGCTCACACGAATTTTGTGTGTTCCAGCGTTCAAGTTTGGTGAACTCTTTGGTGACCTGCGAATTCGTATCACACGAAGATGTGTGACTCACTAGTATAAGATTGGTGTAACCTGTGTGATTAAATATAACAATGCTAACTTTAAACCTGCAGAACTGGAGAAGTAGAATTCAAAAGTGACTGATAGATAGATTGATAGAAGGATTGCATATTTTTACATTTTGTACGCATTATGTAATACACATTATATAATTATGTTGAATTATGATTTTTAAAAGGACACAAGAGAGTCACTTCATATTAAGACTGTTGTGGTGTCAGTAGAAATTTTGTGTGCTCAAAGTCTAGCATGACCGTGGCTTTACTATGATGTTGTTCTGTACTGGTGTGTATGACACAGTGCACCTTCTATATTAGTATTTACTTCAGCTTGTGGAAAAGCTACTTGTGATGAACTCTGATTCTTCACATGGCTTTCCATTTACCACCTGTGTTACTATGGTGGTTGTCAGTATATGTTAAAAGTACAAAACAGTTTAGTAGCAGTGTGGTTATACATTATTTCTTTTTTCTTTTTTAAAGGGATCATATGATGCGATTTCAAGTTTTCCTTTCTCTTTGGAGTGTTACAAGCTGTTCGTGCATAGATAAGATCCCTAAAGTTGCAAAGACTAAAGTCTCAAACCCAAAGAGATATTCTTTAAAAAAAAAAGTTAAAAGTCATCCACACCCTCCTAAAATGCCTCATTTAAACACGCCCCACGTCTACGTCACTGTGTGGGAAGATTAGCTTAACACCGCCAAAATGTTCACGCAAAGAAAGAAGGTGTAATTTTTATTCTCGCTGTAGTATTGTTGCCGCCGCAACCATGTCGTGGAGACGCTGTGTGTTTCATTATGAAAGCAAAACTACTTTGTTTGGTCTTCCAAAAGAGGACATAACTAGAAATCGTGGTTAAGTTGTATTTACAACACTGTTCCAGAACAGTTCAAACCAAATATTCGAGTGTGTGCAGTGCATTTTATGGAGGACTGTTTCCTGGGAGAGTAGCCTACAATGCGGCTGTGCACAAAGGCTGTTTCTATAAAGTGGGGCAATTCCAACTTTGCAAGGACAGTTTGGCACTTCTGACTCACAGCCTGCAAGTATGTTTTCATATTTAAAGAATTTGCCACTGATGATTCAAACGCGAATTTTGAGCAGTGTAGAGCAGCGCTTCTTGTTTGTCCTTTCTCAGATCACAAATACAGACATGGTTTTACGTTTACGTGGCCCTATGCTACGCAACGCGTAAAAAGACAGTATAAGTCATTATAATCAATAATTATGTCCCCACTGGATGCTACAAATGCCTCGTTTATAATGGGTTTTATTGGTTTTGTGTCATCGCGCCGGGACAGGGCATCACAGTATGGTAAGGGGCGTAACATTTCCATCACACGCTTGAGGCATTCGGCCAATCACAACGCACTGGATAGCTGGCCAATCAGCGCAAACCTTGCTTCTTCAGAACGATGTGCTTTGTAAAAATCGACGCATTTCAGAAAGGCGGGGAATAGAGAAGCAACAATAATGTACAGTATGTGGAAAATAATGTGTTTTTTTTTTACCTTAAACCGCATAAACATTGCATTACACCAAATACACAAAATAATGTTCTTTTTAGCAACATCATATGACCCCTTTAAGCTGTAAATATTTACAGGTTGTTCTGTAAAGCTGTTTTACATTTTTACTGTATTTTTTTACATAATTATTCTGACAATAACAGCTGCCAATTTTATTTTGTAAAATTAACAGGATTTGTTTTTTTTTTTTTTTACAGTTGCAAGATGCTAGTAAGATAGTGGTCTGTCAAGTCACTATCCAACCTCAATTTCATTATTACAAGTGATTAATTCATGCAATTTTCAAGTGGGTACAAAGCATGTTAGTTTATTTTTTATCTATTTAGTTTGTTCACAATTATGTTAGACCAGTGTTTCCCAACCGGGGTGCCGTCTGTCGAGAGCAGGGGTGCCGTGTAATAAATCATTTTTTAAATATTTTTTAATTGCTAAAATGTTCAAAAAAGCATCTATATATAATATCCATTTCTGATGTCGCCAATAACTAGAGATGCACCTGAAAGTTCGGCTGCCGAAAATTTGTTCACCGCTCAGGTTTCACTTTCACATGGTGTGACGCTCTATGTATTATCCCGCTCCATGTGTGTGCGCTCCGCTCAGTCGCTCCACTCGTATACCGTTCATGCGAATCGGACCAGCAAAGTTCACTCAAAAATTGAGCCGACAGGAAACATCGATGTAGTACAGTATTGTTTCTGTCTGCAATAGCCCTACTGTGTTGTAACATGGTGTGGTATATGGGCAACTCTGGTAACGGTGCCCTCTCATTCATTGATCTGCTAACCGCTATGTTATGCTCACGTGTTCTGATAATAATAGCTTTCTAGGACTAAACATTATTTGGATAATTGGTAAAAAAAAATTATATATATGTTAAATATCTTAACCCTACTGTTACCTGAAAAACTAAAAAGCAAATTATTTAATTCGAAGGCCTGTCGTAATTTTTTATTTGTGCTATCATTATTAATTTCTTTATTTGTGCTTATTTTATTAGCGACTGCTTACTTGTCATTTTTTATTCAATTCAAAGTTTGAAATCAAGCTATCTCGTGCTACTGCACCAAAATTACCCCACTGTAAAATAAAAAAAACACTGAGTGAGCAAAAATTTGTGAGATAGCTAGTTATAATGGTAATTAAATAATGTTTACATATGTATAAAAGGCTACATTAAAATCTGTCATATAAATTGGTTTCTTCATTAGAAATTAGCCTACTTATTGCCACCATTGACGGACAACATTTTTAAATAATATTAAAAATATCTCTATGACATTATATTCTGCAGTTCTTCCCTGTTGTACCGAATATCTATACTTTTCAAATCATCATATCGAAGTTAGAAATTCAAATATTGTGACAATTAATTTTGTAGGGTGCCACAAGTTTGTTAAAATTTCCAAAGGGTGCCGCAACTAAAAAAAGGTTGGGAAACACTGTGTTAGACATTATAGTACGGCAAAACGTTTAGTAAACTTTAGTAAAACTTTAAAAATTTAAACTGCAAAATGTCTGGAGTTACCTTAGAATTCCACAGCTTATCTGTCCAGCAAGTACACTAAAATTCCATAACAAACATTCAGTCATAAAGGAGTGTTTCTTCAACTATGGGCACTTTTGGTCGTGTGTATTTCTCGCTGTCAGTATTTTGTCTACTAGCAATGTAAAACTACAGACATACATCACAAGAGAATTTTGTCATTACAGTGTTTCAAAGCATTTTGTGGTGGGATGAAACTTGAAACATTTTTTTTATATAAATTTATGGCTAGAAAGTTTCCTAAAAACGCAATTACATTGTAGAAAAATTAAGGCTGGGTTTTCTGTAGATATTGTTTGCAAGCCGTTATATTGATGTCTTTGCGCGGTTGAAACACTGACTGCTGCCGCTTCTCTTGAACTGAGGTGCTACAGTGATCCATCACTCCACAGTAAACAGCTCCCAAACAGCATTTATTGTTTGAATGAATATTGTAACAAAATGGACAGAATTTGAAATCTGAGACTTTGTTTCATATCAAAAGTGGCAAAGCACAAAGCTTATTGTGATTTATTGGATGGGATGTGCGTTATAATGTTCTGTTTATTAACTGAAGACAGGCTACACTAATAGATTCTTGGGATTGAAGAATAGATATTGTTTCGTAAAAATGAGAATCGATTAAAATCAAGAAATCAATATTTTTACCCAGCCCTAATTATTTAAAAAAAATTTATTTTATACACTTTATATTTTCACACTTTGTGCATAGTTGCATAAAATTGCAGTTTGATTAGAAATGCACAATAAAAAAAATACTGTTTGTTTACTAGTGATATTTGCCATTTACCATTAATTTACAGACATAAAATGATTGGAGCGTAATGAATTGTGAGCTTACAAAACTACGCATAAAAAGTTTGTTTCATTTTGTTGTGTGCATTACACATTTGTGAGAACCTTTTACACTTTTAACTCAAAGCTGACTGGTAGAGACAACTGTTGTGTTGTCTTCTCCTCTCCCATTCGCAGCTTACCAAGTCCACTGTTTTCCACATTTTTCATAACTGTGGTGAGAAATGACCAGTGCTGAAATAGTTTTCATGACTCTTTAAACAAACACCAAGCAGCAAAAGTCTGAAGGTCTCCATACATCCACTCCTACATTTAAAAAATAGATTTTTACTGCTTGTTCACTTTAGTCACAATTCTGTACCAACTTATCTATCTTGTTATGCTTTTAAGAGGACATTTAATGACTGAAAATTGCTTCCTTTCAGGATATTCTGCATAAGTACAGTATTCTGTTCCTCTGCATCAGGGAAAGAGAACATCTGCTACTAAAGTATTCAAGTGCACAAACAGCATGCACAGAGACTGCAGTTAGAGTCACGGAGCGTAAAGACTCATTCGTCGTATTTGTTTTCAACCACGTCACGCACAGCTACTGAGACCGATTTGCTCTCCCTGAATCCAGGAAGATAGAGTGTCTTTTCTGACAGTTTCTGTGAAAGTGTCATTCTGTACACGATTTCCACCAGACCCTTTTAAGATGGATTACAGTAAATTTTAGGATCAATGATAATTGTGATTGACTGTGCATGCAAAGCAGGATGTCAAATTCTCAGAAAGCCTGACTGATGATTACATAGAGGGTGTGACTGTAAAAGCATGTGCCCATTCCCCATTCAGAACAGTTACAAATGAAGATTAAGACTGCCATTAATCCCCAATAAACATGTCAATCAACAGTAAGCCATGTTTGGTTGTTGCTTTGTAATCTGAATACTAGCCTATATAATTAAATGACCATGTTGTGGCATGACTTGTTTCATGACTTGTGAAAAACAAGCAGCTTGCCCTTTTCTGAATTTCTTACAAAACATTCAAATGATTTTACACTGAGATGTTTGTGAGATGCTAGAAATGTGTTTGCAGACTTTGAATGACATACAAAGTTTTACACACAGCATCAATCTGACCTAAAAAAAAATTCACTCTATCTAATCCTATTCAGATGATTAGAAATTAAAGCACACTTACCTCTATGCTGGTGCTAAGGCTGGGCAGGGTGCCTGAAGTCACCGTTGTGCTTTGAAAGCTGGAGAAATCCCACAGGTTCACTGGGTGTATTGCATCGGGCACTTTCACCGATTCCCCACTCTGATTTTCCAATAAGGTCACTTCATAAAATTCCTGGATATCTGTTAAAAGAAAATATTTATTTCAGTTTTTCTGTAATACCCATATCTGAGTGAGCTTACTAAAAAGAAAAGGATAAGCAAGATACAGTGGCCCCACAAAATATGTAGACACTTAGGCCACATGTAAATGTATGAATTTTACTGCATACACAATTTCATTTTAAAAAGTACTTTTTGCCATTAATTCTAAACAACCAGCACCACTGTGATTTTTTTTTAGTGGATCCATGGAGTCATTTCCGTTCAAGTTCACACAGGGCGTAGCAGCCACAGGTGTAGTTCATTACGTTAACTATAAATGTTTCACTAACATTTGACAACCGGAAATTGACCAAAACTCTTACATTTTTAATTGTCTTAAGTGTCCAACGTCTTTTAGTGGGGCACTGTATTTGCAAGATATATAGATAGAAGTGTTTTGAAGGTCATTCAAGGGCACAGTATTTGTGCAGATTAAAATCTTGTGAATGCTTGTTCATTAATGATCAGGGTCTCTTTACTGATGTGATTTAGTAGCCAATGACATCTATAAATACACATCTTAGAGTGAACATCAGTTTAAAGATTACAAACAAGGGTGTGGACTGAAGCTAGAGGTCATGGGAGATTTAAAGGTCGTTCACAGCTGTTACAACATTCATCAGGTTATAATCGTAATTATACAAGGGTCAGCAAGCATGCTTTCAACAAAAACAACAGATGGACCCCACAGGAACTTTTTATTATGAACATTTATAGCACTTATTTGAAAGCCACCACCCAGTCATGAGTAAACACAGTGCATATTTATGTATGTACATGGCAGATAAGACTTTAAAGACCACTTTAAAAATCAAACAAACAGTAGCAATCCACACAAAAGGCATATGTGCGGTTTCAAATAAATTAGGGAACTAGTCTCTTCCATAAGTAGAGGGGAAATGACTGTTTGAGAGAATGGCGTGCTGTGGTTGGCTATGCTGTTTCAACACTCGGCCGAGAGAGAAAATAGCAGAGGGATATAGCTCTTCTATGCATGTCAGAGATTGGGTAACAGGTCTGAAAATACATGTGGGATCACATGGAGCTACACAGCAATGAGAATAAATATTTTTATAATGCACACTGGTGGGGGTGATTCCCTCATCTCTGGTTTCCCTTTGAAATACTGAGTCCAGTGACTTCACAGCCCCTCTGAAAAACCACTGCAGGCTTGTAACTGGGCTCCCACTAGTGAGCATTTGTCCTATGACCATTAATCATTTTAATCTAGATTATTTTATGTAATGTTAGGGTACGTAATGCTTTTCATAAACATTTTTTGTTATACTGGTTCAAAGTCTGGATAGCAATAGCTTCTGTGCAAGCCTCAGGACATTAAAATCTTCATCCAATGTTCGGTCCGAATGCAATGATAGAATGTCCTATAACCGCCTGTCATCATATGTATCTGCATACCTCCACGCACCCAATAGGGAGAGTTTGGTGCATGGCTACTGTCCAGGCTAAGCCAGAGGGTGTTTAGCCAGTGTGGAGAAAGAAATTCAAATACCATTACAGAAGTGCAAGCCAAAATTCGAAGACTTGCCAAAATACACAGAGATGGACAATGGGGTGAAGCAAGGGTAAACACTGGCACTGTTTCTACAAGATTGAGGAATTTGATGGAATGTTTGGGTTTCAATTGATACGACAAACTTGCAGCATTTCTTCTCGACAGGCAAGCTCAACTTCAAGTTAAATCATTTTCTAATATGTTGGACCTTTTTATTGAAAGTAGCCTACTTTTACCTGTCAAGATATGTCTTTACTTTTTATAGACCCATGAAGCACAAAAGGGGCGTTTGTAAAGATGCTGTGACACTAGTAACGCAGAAACTGCATTCTCCACCTTTAAGGCTGGCCAGAAATAAAAAAACATTTGTCCCACAGACACGAAAGTTCTGGTTGGCTAAACGAATCCAGGATTTATTTCTTGAGATTAATCACTGTTCTTTCACTTGCCAGTTCCCCTGTGAGCCTTAGAGAAGCTAGAGGTTGTCACAGAATCCAACCATTTAACATCTGACTGACCTCTCAGTCATGCAACTACTCCCAAAATAAAACCACAACAAAAGGAAAACAAATACTGAGTCGGTTTACTGAAAACTAAAGACCGGAGTTATTCAGGTGAAATACAAGGACCTTTACTTCACCTTATTGAAAATATTGTTTTAATTTGTTTGATTGTTTGTTTGGTTTTTGAAAAACCATACAAGTGATCACTGATCACAGTTTTTTCTGACTCTGACTACCTGGAAATTGACATTTCTTAACATTAAGAAACTGACATTTTTATTTGTGTGCCAATGACTGACATTATTCCAAAGCATGTCTTGTTTATAACATGCAGTGGCATCTGATAGCAGATAACTACTGGTTATGTGACAACTCTTTAAAGTGTTAGAAAAAAAAAAGAATGGTAGAACACAAGATGTCAAGAGCAGCTTGAAACAACCTGTCCAAAAGTAGGGGGAAAATGAGAAAACAAAGCTATCTTATTGAAAACAATCTGGGACAAATAAATCAAAGGTTCTAATGACAGCATTTAGATTTTTCAATTGCTGAATCATCATTCATCAAACAAATTTAAAATGCATTATATAAGAGTGTGCGTTTATACAGCACTCTAGCCGAGTCAGCTGCATTATTTGAGCAAAACATTTCATAACTTCATTTGTAAATTTAATTGAAGCACATCAGGAAGCAGACCGTGAAAGACCCTCATTTGCAAACAAATCATTTATGTACAGTTATGCTGAACAAGTATAACTGACACATTTTGTATGTTTGTTAACAACCACTCGTGGGGTATTTAAACTTGGTACACACTCATTACACTTACACTTGGCCACATAATCCAGTCTCTGCAAATGGACATAAGTCTGACCTACTGCTCCTGCGCTATAGAATTATGATCAGAATTATTTTCCATAACGATGTTAATGCCGGCCAACAACTCTCTCAACGCCTCATGTGGCAATCGACACTTCAACCCCCTACACCCCAGCCCAAGCCCCTTCCTTATTGTTGCTACTGTATAGGGCCTTTCGCACCACGGGAACCTTTTCATAGTACCAGAACTAATTGTGGAACTACCCACTTTTTGGCGTTTTTTTGTGCGATTTTAGTACCGGACTACCTTTTCGAGAACCAAATCAGCTCTACTCTGGAGCAGGGTCTAACCAGCACAACTGGTACTAATTGTGACGCAAGTAGACATTGATTGGCCAAACACGTATGAAACCCCCCCCCCCCGCCATGATTTAAAACGCCGTGTAAACATACTGTAAACATTGTCAACTTATTTCGCAAGTATGGAGAACAGCAATAGATGGACGGACGCTGAAGTGCAGGCACTTGTAGCAAATGTAGCACTGCCAGTTGTCATTGGAGATTCTTAGTCCTCCTTTCCGTTCTTTCAATCGCTTTACGAATACGTCGACATTCCATGTCCATTATTGTGAAACCTGCGAGACACAACAAAAACATAGCTCTGATCACAGCGTCCTCCATCCTCCTGTTGTTAAAGTTGTTCTTCTTTGTTTCTGTTGTTGAATGCTGCGCACAAATAATGTCGCTGTCGACCGGCTTACGTCACTTCTTAGTACACACTGTCGGTGCGAATGCAACCCTTTAAATGGTACTGGGAAATAGCTTGCGCAAAATCATCTCAGTACTTTAGTACTGTACATTTAGTTCTGGAACTAAAGCGGTGCAAAAGGCCCTTATGTCCATCAAGTCATGGCGCCCTCACACCACACATCATGTTCTCACAAAGTGAAAGATATATTGCGGAGCTGACAGACAAGACAGAGCAGGTTTATGAACCATAGACTTGAAAAAAAAGTCTTAGCTTTACAATTGTCATTTTTTAAGAAATTCCAACTAATAAATACTGTTTTGTGGCTCTTTAATGTGTCATGTCAGATCGCTGTAGCACCTCAGTTCAAGCACCACATGAACCGATCACCTCTTTACTAGTTATTAGTATGAAATAAACATGAAAAGTAAGCGATTTATAAGCGATTTGATATGAGGCAATACCATTTATATCGATATACAGTAGTTTGATACGAGCGCATCTGAAAATATAGCGGAGGACACAGACTGAGCTGCTGCGGAGAAGCTGCATGATCCAATTTGTTCTAAACATGTGACAAGCTTCTTATTAAGGCCTTTAAAAACTGGTAAGACATAGTTTATAGTTTCGTTTTGCATATTAGTTTAAGCGACTCGGCCCGTCATATGCTCTGACAGAAAGGCTGCATGTGCCGCTGACAGAGACACTAGGCTACTCGCGCAGTTTAATGTGTTTAATTCTCCATCTGTAAATGTTAGAGAGCCATGGAAATATTTCCATTTTTCTGTCAGAAGTGCATGAGATTCTCAGCTAAACTTCAGAGACTTCAGTGAACGAGCGTCGCCACGCGCATGCATGCCAAACAGACAGAGCTCAATTCAATAGGAGCGCAATCATTCTGACTAAAATATACATTTCGCTGAAATATTTGTAGTTGGACAATAAATGTGACATGTAGAATTTTAAACCTACAAGGTCATATGCTCTGACAGAAAGGCTGCATGTGCTGCTGACAGAGACACTAGGCTACTCGCGCAGTTTAATGTGTTTGGCATGTGCTGTCTTCCTGAATGCATAACTTACATTTCACAGGTATATTCTCCATCTGTAAATGTTAGAGAGCCATGGAAATATTTCCATTTTTCTGTCAGAAGTGCATGAGATTCTCAGCTAAACTTCAGAGACTTCAGTGAACGAGCGTCGCCACGCGCATGCATGCCAAACAGACAGAGCTCAATTCAATAGGAGCGCAATCATTCTGACTAAAATATACATTTCGCTGAAATATTTGTAGTTGGACAATAAATGTGACATGTACAATTTTAAACCTACAAGCAGGGCCGTTTCTAGCCAATTTGATGCCCTAGGCGAAATCCCTATTGCCTCCCCCCCAAAAAAA